AAAAAAAAAAAGGTTTTCAACACGCGTTGGTTGTCTTGTCGCGCTGTTGAATCTTCTTGAAAAACTCTTCAACATTGCCAGTAAATTTTAATCGCTTCATGCTTGACCCTTTATTGAGAAAAGAATATTTAAAAGTTATTTAGAGAATGAGTAGAACCTGGCACAATATTCTGCTGTGGTCGTACTAAGGGTACAGGGACCGAGACAGGGATTGGTAATGGTGGACAGCATTGAACTGCCTGCTGAGACGAAGGCAAAGGTGCAATTGTTGTTGGCGGGGGGACATCTAAGCAACATATTGGGCATCTTCGGCAAATCAGAAGGTAGTCACTCGGTCCGCACTCTCCCATTTGGCAATTTCGCTTGGCTCTTAATTTGTATACTCCTTGGTTCAACGTCTACAATCAAACCAACTGTGTAATTTATTTTTATTGTAGTTTTATGTTTCAGAAAGACACTGATAACAGTTTGTTATTTGCGCAGTTAGAAGCAGTTAAAACAATAAGAAACAAGAAAATTAGATTACCTGCAACTGTGAAGCAGTAATTTCAAAAGCAGCTAAGACGTTAAAAAATGTGCCAATTGCGAGAAGGCATTTTGTCTGCGGTCCCATGTACGCCATCTGAAATAATGGTATTTTCACTGGAAATTAATTGCCTACTTTATGCGCAACAAATATTTCTGTAAAGTTTCTAAAATAGAAATTATTAAATTAAAAAAAGTATTTGTTAATATAAGCCAGATAATGATAAATTCCAGTATAACAGACTGAATAAAGTAGTTTACTTACGTGATAAAACTGGAGATTTAAATTGAAGAGCCAAATTTGTGTGGATTAGCATCATTTAATGACTTTTATAGAACCAAATTTTAGGGCGGAGCTGCCTTAGAAGAGTTGAGTGACATAGAATAAGAGCAATCAAAAAAAAAGATATAATTTTTTTTTGTTTTTTGCGTAAAACACAGTATTATTTGAACAATAAAAGCTTCCGGATGTCTGTATTTAATAGCCGCTCGTCGGTCAATACAAACCAAAACCCACGAATTTCAAATTTTCTGTAATTCGGACAGTATTTATTTACGATACGATAAATTTTAATTAAAAAAAATAAGTTCAAAAAACCTGAATAGCTATTATTTTATTCTCTATCATTTTTGAACAACATTAACAGCGTATCAGCTTTTAGCCATAAAATAATATGACAAATTTGAGCCAAACAAATTGAAATACATTATAATTTTTGTTCAAGCAGTTTGTTTAGTGTAATATGAATGAACTTAGAGAGTATTTTTTGCATTAGAATCTTGTTTACTAAGTTTATCTTTAATAACTCAATCTAGATTAGAAGCCTACACTGGCCATAGAGTATTAGATTTTCGTTCGCAGTCAGTCGTTAACGTAAAAGGAAAGTAGGCTGATCATGACTGTTTCCTCTTGATGCACTGTATAATTTTTTTTGTAACTAAGTATGCAGTTTGTTGTAGTTAACAAAGAAGATATAAATTACAAAAAAAAAAAATTCTTTTTTTGCTACAACGTAATATGATTTATATGTATTTCTTTTAAATTTTGTTCTTTTTTTGACAAAAAAAATTCTTAAGAAGACACATCACAATTTTTGTTTAAAAATTTTTGAAAATTGTTTGCAATGTCAAAATGTCACTTTGTTCGGTGATCAGTGTTGTCACCTTTTTGAACTCTGCTTTGTGGTGATCACTCATAAAATTTCTTTCTCTTTTTTTTTTCTTCTTGCTATTCTGTTTTTCTCTTTTCTTTTCTATTTTTTTTATTTTTTTTTTGTTATTAACTGCTTTATATAAATAATTATTATTTTTTTTTTATAAATTGTATTGTCGTTAATATGATAATAATAGAACTCTTTTTAAAGAAAAGTTTCAATTAGTTTTTTAGCTTCTTGCTGCTTATACAATAGCGAATGGCTGCAGATATGCCGTTGATGTTAATATGACTTTAACAGACAATACAATAACCAGAAACGAAAGATTGATCTCAGTCAGTTTACTTATTAATTAAAAGAATGCTGCTTTTTTGGATGTAAAACTTACTATTTTTGAGATCATTTGTTTTCAAGACAATAAAGTCAAAGTAATTTCTACAGTTCTCTATCAAATAAGCTGCAATCAGTTTTTTGCTTTCATTTACCGCTAATTTTTTTGTTGATGTAAACAAAGTGTTACTGCAGAAATTATGAAGGTTTAACTCCATTTTTACTCTGACAAATATTGTATCAGATTATAAGTTTAGTAACTTTAAATTTCTTATTATTTATTTAAAAGTAATCGATTTTTTCTTGGTTTAACTTGCAAAAGGTTAAAAGAGCCAAGCAATGTTTATACTTCCTTTCAGAATTTTTTTTATCATTCATATGGTGAAATAGAATTTTTTCAAGGTTATTAATTTTTTTAAATCTACACTTATTTTTCATAAGTTTATAAAGCATTTTTTGTCGTTAGTTAGCTTTTTCTTATAACTAATTTGGTAATACTGTTGTAGTTTACAGGCTATAAAATAGTTAATTTGGTTTATATCTAATCAGAAATGGAATGATCTGTTAATAATGTTAAATTTCTGGTAGGTCAGCAGAACGCTTCAGAATCAGCAGTTCCACTTCCGGTGCTCTTCTTGCTGTAGGTGTTATTATTTTCTGCCTGCTGATATTATAGTTTGTTGTCTGCTTTTAAAACCTGCAAACTTCTGTTTGTTACCGGCTATTGAAGGTATAAAATACAGAAGTTCTTTGATTTCACTGGTTTATTAATATTTTATTACAGGCAATAAAAGATGTGAAAAATCTGTGCCAGGTTCAGATACAGTTCCAGATCTTACAAGTTTTACAGAAATAATTCTTATAATATCAGCTAGTGCAACAGTGAAACGAAAGCAGTTGTTGTTAATGAGAAAACAGTAATACCCTTAGATTATACACATCACTCTGTTTTCTGCGATCTTCTTTATTCGTTTTTCTATCATAAAATTTTGAAGATATTATGAAGAAAGAAAAAAAATAGTGCAAAAAAAGTGGTACACAGAAATTCTTGGCGTTAATGATGGCATATCAATAAAAATACTATAAGATTAATTTAGCAACTTAGTTATTCTTGTTACTTATTCATACTACTTAGTCTCTAATATAAACTAATAAAACCTTTGTTTTTTAAGTGTTTTGTTAGTTTCACAAGAAATGCAACTTTGAATAAGTGGAAAGAAAAAAGCAGAACAATCCTCATTTGGCTATTTGGAAGTACATTGAAGTGTGGGGATATTGAACTTATCGTGGAGAAACCATGGGTGAACAGCAGCCTCCAACTGTTTTCTTGGAAAAAGAAAATTTTGTTTTCAATTATAGAATTGTCAAATCTTTTTAGTTTATACATATCAAAAAAATAAAATGTTCTGAATTTCAATTAGAGTGATAAACATGATACAGTTTTATAAGTACTCCATCAAACGAATAGTGAGAATTACAACAAACAGCTAAATAGAACGTCGTATAATAGAGTCTTAACTGGTAAAAAAAAATTACGATTGCTCTCCCACACCAAGTTTTCCCTTTTTTACGTATCTTCAAATTCGAAAATTTGATGTTTTTTAACACAGTTTCATACGCTTAAAAATTGCAAGATGAAATAAAGATAAGATGAAGCCTGAAGAAAATCTCACTTGATACCTCATGTATAATTTTCCAGCGATTTGAGCAACACCAAAACTTAGTCTTGTATCTACCTAACTTTATTGCAAAAAAAATCGCTTCTGCTTTAAAAACTTAAAAATTTTTAATTGAAATCTTGTGAAATCTTGTAAAATCTTATCATAAACCACGTGTTTCTTATTTCAAAATTTATTTGTTTTCAGATAAAAAAACTTTTGTTGGCAATAAACGACTGTATACATCTTAGCCGCTATGAAGTTTAACGCATTAATAAAACCTCAACTATAAATATTTTAAAAGAAAGTAAAAATTTATTCTTAAGCAGAAATTTAGTTAAAGCTTGCAACCGGCGTAAAGTCAGTTACTCATCGGTGGCACCACTTCATAATTCTTTTCAACTTTCCTTTTTTTCGCAACTGTTTTTTTAATAAAAAAAATGGCAAAATATTTAATTTTTTAGATATTTGGAATTATAAGTTTTTTAACGTTATTATTGGAATAAAATAAGAAAAAAAAAGTAAGTGATAATATTATTTTACCAGTCAACTAAAGTTCCATCATGTACAAGACGACGTAAACAAATTGTTTGAAACATTATGTCAATGTCTTTTTTTGATTAGTGTTAGTCTGATACTTTGCAACGAACAAAAAATATAGATTTAAAAAATTAAGAAAACAAAAGAAATTACTGCTTTAAATTTGTTAATTTAAGAGCACGATACTGTAAAAATAATAAAGATAATTGTTGAAAGAGAAAATAATGTAAGTATTACTGTCTGCAGTAAAAATTGAAGAATTTATATTTAGCACAAATACTTTTTGTTCTCTATCTGACACACTTATTTATTGTGTAAAGCTAAAAAAGATTGTTTTTAGAAACACGTTAATTGTTTCAATTGTTTGTTAAAATCTGCCTTGCAAAGATAAAGTATAAAATTTTGTATCTAATAATTGAATAAAAAAACTAAATTATAAGTATCATTTTTTTTCTTTGAATTGTTTACTATTACTTCAGTGATTAATGCTAAAAAATTGTATAGATTCTTTTCATATCAAAAAATATTTATTTGTTTTGAATATATTTATTGGAACACTATCCAAAAAAAAAAAATACTTTAATTTTAAAATATGACTTTGTATTGACTTTAGTGATGCGATAATACGTATATTCTAAAAATTTTTCAATTTTTTAATTGTACAATAGCAATAGCTAAAAAGCTTCTGCAACAAAATTATGAGAAAAGAATTATAAACGGCTTAAAGATTGAACGCTATTAATATAGGCATCGGAATTAAGTCATGAGACAAATCTGCATTGCTGCAAACAAATTTCAAGTGCTTTTATTTAACATACTCAGATACTGAAAAATCTATTTATTCTCTCGCAAAACATCAGGTTGATATCATCTATACCTGTAGATCATACACCAACTGCTAAAAACTGTAACAATATGTTTTTTATTCATTCGTTTCTCTAATATATCACAGCGTATAAAATAAAAATTAAGAAACAATAAGTGTATCAAAAAAAGTAGCATTTTTTGAGCAAAACAGTGATAACAACAATTATAATGATAAAAATCAGTAAAGTTTTAATATATAAGTGTTTCAAGCATATAAAAATTGTAGACTACTTTGTAAATTTTGCAATCTACTGTATTTGTATTAGATAAAAAATTTAAAGTTGACCATTTTTAGATAGTTTAGCAAATGTTGCAGAAATAAATTTTTTTAACCTTTACGTGTGTTAACTCTCGAT